CTGTCTTGCTGCCCTCGGTCTTGCAGCGAATTGTGTTTCAGACCCTTGTCCTCCTGGCTGGCTGAGTCAGGGGTGCTGAAAGAAGTGGGGTGTCTGGGGGAAACCCGTGCTTAGTTTACCATTTGGCCTTAGTTAGTCCCAAATATGGGTTTGTAGGACGGCTCAGGGTGTTGACACCTCTGCCAACAACCCTGCTTTGCCCACCTCAACCTGCAGGAGGTCTGAAGCATGGGACTGAAATTCCAGCACACAGGTCTCTGTGGATCCATCCTAGACCAAAGCCTGTCTTTCAATGATGCACTTCTATTGAGCCTGAATCTCACCCAAAGCCACATCTCCACGTGCAGCACACAGATATGTCCCTGACCATTTGGCCCCACAAGAGACTTGCTCAGCAGGGAGAAAGCTGAGAGTCTAGAATGAAGGCTTAGTTCCCTGGGGTGTTGAACCAGGCTTACTGGGATGGCCCCACTGAGGGCCTATTATGTGCCAGGCCCCGATTAAGTGCTTTATCTTCAATCCTTCCAGTATGCTGTGGATTGGGTATTATACTATTTCTGCTTCATAGAGGAGGAATCTAGGGCTCAGATAGGCTAGTCCACTTGCATACAGTTGTAAAACTCGAAGTGGCTATAAAGAAATCGGAATCGGAACAGGTTTCAGGGTGCACACAAAGGACAGATTTAGAGAATTAGCATCCAGTGTTCCACAGGTTTTTATGGTGCTATCAGCAGTGTTAGTGACCCTCCAGCAGGCCACAGAGCAGAGCCTAGATTGCTGTAAGCAGCCGAAAGGACTGTTCTCACCATCCTCAGAGCCCCAATAAATCCCTGAGGACACCTGCCCTTTAGTGTCCCTGTTCCCCATGCTGCTTGCTCTGCAGCCTGGAACCCAGATTCAAACTGGGAAACAGACAAAGAGTAGCGGGGGTGGGGAGAGGAGGAGCAAAGGTGCATTTTGGCTGCAGGTCTGAGCCAGGTGTCGGTGGAGACTTTGCCTACAATACAAGCTCTGTTTTTACCTCTACCTGGCTCCTCTGTGTAGTTCTCCACTGGTTGAGAATCTATATGGAGAGGGGATATTAAGTGGCCTTCTTCCAACACTCAAAGAATTGAAAATACACATGAGGACCAGCATAGGGTTCAACACAGAGTAGACATTGAAAACACACCTGTTTATGGCTCTGGAGACCACGAACTCTTTCCCTTTATCCTGTGTGATTTAATTTGAACACTAACAGAGAGACTGGCAGAAAGAAAGCATTCAATAAACGGTAACTAGTATTACTGCGGATAATATGAACACTTTACTCCTATTGAATCCTTAACTGCTCTCATCACCCTGTAAGGGAGGTGTCCCTATTTAGGCGATGAGGAAGCTGTGTTCATAAATGCTGGGTACCAGGTCCGAGACTGCAAAGCTCAGTGGTGGTACCGGGCAAAGTCTATATCAGTGTGCAGACTGTCCCCTACACTGCAGCAAGGCAATGGAGAAACCGTCCCAGCACCCCACGGAGGTGAAGTCAGACTTGGTTTTATCACTTTTATTCATTAAAAAAAAAAAAACAAAACCAACTAGGGGCCATGCTCTGAAAAAAGGTCAAAGATGTAAGTACTTAGTATTGTAGAACCAGCTGCTGGTCAGCTTATCTTGAGACCTTTCAGAAAAATCTACCCTCTGATTCTCCCACTTTCCTTTTTTGTCTCCTTAAGGCAAGGACTGAAAACCCCACAGGGAAGAAAAAAGTTTCAGCCACTAGCGAATCAGTGCCTGCAGCTCAGGTGATATTCCCGTGGGGTCCATAAAGAGCCCATGGGGGTGATCAGAGATGCCACCAGGAAGGCCAGGCTGTCACACCAGCCCCACCTGACAGGACAGGTAGCCTCCATCCTGCACTCTTTCGCCCTGGATCATGCTTAGGAAGGGGCAGGAGAGTGACGGGATGACAGAGGCACAAGAGGAGAGCTCATGTGATTTGTCCGGAAGTGGATCTAGATAGAATTACAAGTACCCAGATGCTGACCCTGCAAGACGAAGAGGAAAGCTGGGATGCTGGGCGGGGAGAGAGGGAGGATTAGTTGGATTTAGAGCTCCTGCGAGGGGCCAGATGCAGCCCACCAAGTTCCCTCTTTTACCACCTTGCCTGGACTACGACAGCTCAGCCAGAACTGCCTACATCTCTACTGGCCAGATGCCTTATGAAGGGGAGGCTGAGAGCAGGGAGAGGAATTTTTCACTTAAACATTGGCCAGCCAGGCTCTCAAACGAAACAAGCAAGCAAGCGACCAGGCAACAAGTGTGTTTAAGGATCTGCTGTGTATACAGAATTGTCAGAACAATCTTAAAAAAGAAAACAAATTTGAAGGACTCACATTTCCTGATTTCAAAACTTACTACAAAACTATAGGAATCAAGACAGTGTGGTGCTGGTGAAAGGACAGACATAGATCAACAGAACAGAGAGGACAGACATATACATCGACTGAGAGTCCAGAAACAAGCCCTCAATGTTTATGGTCAAATGATTTTTGACAAGGGTGTCAAAACTAATCGAGGAGAAAAACAGTCTTTTCAACCAGTGATCCTGGGACAGCTGGATACACACCTGCAAATAATGAAGTTGGACCCTTACCTAACACCGTATACAACAATTAACTCAAAATGTATTGAAGACCTAAATGTGAGAGCTAAAACTATAAAACTCCTAAAAGAAAACAAAGGAGTAAACCTGTATGACCTTGGATTAGGCAATAATTTTTTAGAAATGACATCAAAGGCAAATCCACAAAAGAAAAGTTGGACTTTGTCAAAATTGAAAATTTTGTGCTTCAAAGTAACATTAAGAAAGTGAAAGGACAATTCACAGAAGGGGAGAAAATATTTGCAAGTCCTATATCTGATGAGGGACTTGTATCTAGACTACATAAAGAACTCTTAAAACTCAACAGTAATAAGCACATGAAAAGATGCTTAGCATCATTACTTGTTAGGAAAATGCAAATCAAAAACCCCAATAAGATACCACGTCACACTCACTAGGATGACTATAATAAAAAAGATAGTAAGTTTTGGCAAAGGTGTGGAGAAACTGGAACCCTCATACATTGCTGGTGGGAATGTAAAATGGTGCTGGTTGATTAATCAGCCACAAAAAGGAATGAGGTTTCTAACAAGTTTCCAGATGGGGAAAAAAAAAAAAAAAAAAGGAATGAGGAAACTGGTGGTCTAGGGCAGAAGGTAAGACTAACACACAGGAAACAATGAGGACATCAGGTGTGTAATGGAGTGGTCCAGATGCCAGGAGCTGCGGGAGGGGTGTGGGGTAGGGGGCAGGGAGAAGAGGTCAGTGTAGGGAATAAATCACCTCCTCCCATCAGCTAAGGCAAGATAAGATATAGAACCCTCCTGGAGTGCCTGAAAGGGGTGAGGTCTACTGGTACACACTCCTGTCTGTGCTAGGCCTGCTCGGGGGATTACCATTTGGTCATTTGGAATCGTGCTGGAAATACAACAAATCAGTATTTAGAATTGGTTAATCCAGCGCCTTCCATCCTTATGAATGGATAACCCATTTGGATGGTAGAGGCGGGAAGGAAACCAGAGGAGTCAGGGCTGCTGCAGTGTAGACGTCCTCTTGCTACTGCCCCAGCCACGTCAGGGCTCCCCTGCCAAGCAGGTGCCTCAATTCCAGAAACTCCGTGACTTGCTGATACTCTTGCCCAGCTCAGGGCTGGGAGTTGAACACCCAGGCCTCAT